CCCTCGGAACAGCAGCACTGCAGCCTGAGGACGGCCTTCCCTTGGGGAGGAACGCGGGGCTTTGTCGGCGCTGGACACCCAGCTGATTAACATCCAATTTCAAGTCCACACGCAGGCGTGGCTCCCTGGGCAACCGACGTGTCCCTGTGTGGGCGGAGGAGCTCTGCGAGGGGGCTGCCATCGGATCCTCAAAGGGACCGTTGGCCCTGGCGTCCTGGCGTCCTGGCGTCCTGGCACCCTGATATGCAGGCGTGCTGGAGTCCTGGCGTCCTGGTATCACTGATGTTCCTCTCTCTCTCCCTCTCCCTCTGAAATAAATAAAAATATATATTTTTTTAAATAAATGGAAAAAATCGGAATAAGCCATTAAGGAGCTGCTCTTGCCCAGGCTCTGGAACCTTCTCCTTGGCGAGGTCTGGTCCCGCCGGCCTCTCGCTGCACTGTCTTCTCGCCCATTTCCCTGTAAAATGAAAGCAGCAGCGATGCGTAGGGGCGCTCACTCTGCTGCGTGCAGGTCTGCGCTCTGCGTTATCGCCATCGTCTCACTTCATTCTTACGACGAGGCGGGCACGTGGATTCCCTCCGTCTCACAGACGACGGGTCCGCAGACCAGGGTCGCTGAGTAACTGGGCCGCCCGGCCTGTCACCAGGATGTATCGCCTTCTGGTTCTGCCTCTACTTCCCGGTGCGCACCTGCACACCGCTGGGGTCTCCTCGCCTTCGCCTTCGCAGGGGGAGATTCTAGGCGTGAAGTTCAACAGCCCGGCTGCTTTGGGAGGAGATTGGGCTCTGTTCCCGCTCCCACCAGCAGGTGGCGCCGTCTCCCCGGCGGATTTCCTGGCCCTTTGAGGGACCCTTTCAGCCAGATTAGAACTGAAACCCTTCCTTTCTGGCTGGTGGCCTTGTCCGGCGAAGGCGATCCAGCAGGACAACGGTGCCCGAGGAGCTGGTGCAGGGTGCCCGTGACCCTGGCATTTGGCTGCATGGCACCCGGTGCATTAGCTACTACAATGTGTGGACGGTTACGTCCCAGCCACCTTCCTCTTGCCCGCGCCCCGCTCCCCCCAAGTGGACTTCAGACCACAGTGTTCAGAGCACCGTTTCGTGAGGAAATCCAGCTGGTCGGCCAAGTTCCCCTTACGCAGCGTGTGCCTCCTGCAGCCGCCTTTGGGATCAGATCCAAATCCTGGCTCTTCCTCCACGTGACCGACCACCTGACCCCTCTGTGCCTGCGACGACTGCCCGGCGCTAATACAGCAGAGGCCGGGAGACGCAGGTGGTCAGCACCGGCCGGGGTGGCTCTGGGAAGCCTCCCGCTGCCGGTGCACGGACCCCACACCACAGAGAAGGACCTCCGGGCAAAGAGTTCGCTCAGCTCTTTCCCGTCTTCGTGTGTTTGCCGGACTTGTCCCCCTCCTCCGTGCAGCGCCTCCCTGTGGCCAGTTCCCATTCCGTCAGATGCCTGTGTTGTTGCAAAGCCTTTGAAATTGACCAGGGAGGGAATTTCAGCAGCATCTGGCTTTCGGGGAGATGGTGAGAACAGGGGCGCTTGCCTCCAATCTTCTGGCCTCCTCATTGACCCCCACCCCCGACCCAGGGACAGCACGTCCATCTCAGTGCTCTGGGGTCTCACCCTCTGCCCGGCTGCCTCGGGGAGTGCCGTGGGCCGACTTCCTGGGGGGCTCCCTGTGCCAGGCATTGTGCTGGCGGAGCTGGGTCACGGGGCCGAGAGGGAACCTGGCACTTCTGCGCAATGCCAACACTCCACGCGGCACGCCCCCCGGCACCAAGGTGAGTTCCCAGCAGCCGTGTTTAACTTTCCGCATCAGATTAGATTAAACATTAGGGCTCATAAGAGCCCGGTGTCGCGACTGCACTTGGCAAGGGCGGCGAGGGTTCCGCACAAGCCGGAGGGCTCGCAGCCACAGCAGGACGGCCGGAGCCTGGCGGCGTAGCCAGGGCCCCCGCACGG